TAGTAGATCACTGAGTCTTATAGACTCTAAATCCATTCAAGTTGCTGAGAAGTTCATAATTTTGTAGTTTTCACAGTTTACGTTTTGTACTTATTTTGTTAAATTTATCCCTAACTGTTTTATTCTTTTTGATGCTGCAATTGACTTTTAGTAATAGAAATTGAGGATTATTAATTATAAACTATGTTCTGAGCTATAAACAACCAGATCATTTCACTGATCTCATGTGGAACACCTATTAGCTCACTGCTAAAGAAATTAGGAGTGTTCTCTTTAGAACACCACTTACTTATTACCTAGGAATTGTGTCTATTTGCAGGGGACTGATGTGAGACTCTTGCTCTGATTGTTCTGACTAATTTCTCCAGGTTGTAGATATTGGGAGATAGGCAGAGAAGATGACAGGCAGTGGGAGTGGGGTGGGCAAAGTGTCTCACTTCCTTTGACAGATTTGGTCTAAACCAAAAAAACCTTCCCATGACCTAAAAGTTGAGGTTTCTAAGATATTTCTTAACATGATGGAATGTCCATACTGGCTATCCCTCCTGGCTTATATAAGTGTATCCATTCCATGGTTGTGCAGGCCACAGCAGGCATGTCTGAGGAGCATGTTAAAAAGCAGAGTATCAACCATGTGGTTAATCACTCGCACATTTTTATCTTCCTATACCTCTCATCTGTGAAATTCCTAATATCTGTCACTAGAACACATGCAGCTTAGTGTACTCAGGCTGCCATAACAAAATACAAGAGAATGAATCATTTAAACAACAAGTTTATTTCATCACAGTTCTAGGTCTGGAAGTCTGAGATCAGGGTGCCAAGATAGTCAAGCTCTGGTGAGGGTTCTCTTCTTGGCTTGCAGATGACCACATTCCCACTGTGTGCTTACATGTCCTTTCTTGTGTGTGTGTGTGTGTGTGTGTGTGTGTGTATGTATGTATGTGTGCAGAGAGAAAGAGAAAGGGAGAAAGAGATTGAGAGAGAGAGAGAGAGAGAGAAAGCTCTCTGGTGACTCTTCATAAAAGGGCACTAAATCTATCATGAGGATCCCACTCTCATTATGTCATCTAACCCTAATTACCTCCCAAAGGCTCCATCTCCAAATACTGTCACATTGGGGGTTAGGGCTTCAACAGATGAATTTGGCCGGGGAGGGGAAGAACACAAACATTCAGCCCATAACACCACAGACAAGAAAACAAACAGATTTCCAGACACTACTCCTATAGATTCTCATTCAGTGGCCTAGAGAGGGGCCCAGGAATCTCTATTTCACTCTTGTCTGTCACTCAGGTACATCAAATCCAGGGAACAGGTATTTGCAAACTGCCTCCATATGAGTCAGTGCTCACTAACCTTCCTCACTGAACGTCCTCAGCCAAAGCTGTTTTACTTTTTGGTTTTGGACATTGTTTTGTCACATTTGGATGTTTGTTTTGTCCAAGTTTCTCTGCTTATGGGTGACTATAACACAATGCCCCCCAAATGTTTTATGAATTGTATTGAATTGAATCTGGTTTCTTGGCTTAGAACAGATTATAAACAGCTACTTTAAAGAGGAGAGAGTGTTATAAGATGTAACATCTGGGCCGGGCACAGTGACTCAAGTCTGTAATCCCAGCACTTTGGGAGGCTGAGGCGAGAGGGTTGCCTGAGCCCAGTGGTTCGAGACCAGCCTAGGCAACTTAGTGAGACCTCATCTCTACTATACATATTTTTTAAAAAATTAGCTGGCATGGTAGTGCGCGCATGTAGTTCCAGCTATGTGGAAGGCTGAGGCAGAAGGATCACTTGAGCCCAGCAGCTCAACGCTGGGGTGGCCGTGAGTGTGCCACTGTACTCCAGCCTG